GGTTACCGCCTGGGGCCTGGGCTGGTTGCAAAAGGGGCTGGTGCTCCTGACGCAGTCTGCTCTCAGTCTCACTCACTCTCTGGAGCTGGTTCCCAGGAGAATGGGAGCTCAGGGAGGGTGTGTCACCTCTGCCCTGGACATCACTCTGCTCACAGGGGGAAAGCAAGGACACAGCTCCTTCAGGTGTGCACACACTCACATCAGTCCAGGCCCAGTGTGCATATCCCACACAAAGATGCATGTGAGAGAGACCTCCACACAGAACTGAGCATAGGTACGAGACGCATAGACACATGGTCCCAAGAAACTAGCCTAGCCTGGATGTGCACACACAGGCACAGAGACCAACATACACACCCAGTTGTACATTTACAGTTGTGTATAATACACACTCCTAAGGACAGACATGATGTGGATACACAGATACAGATCCTGCTTAAAGATAGACACTCTAATTTACAGACAGATACACATACATGGAATTATACAGAGTTTTTGAATAAAGACAACAGTACTTTAAATATGCAATAGCAGGGCCGGCCCGTGGTTCACTCGGGAGAGTGCGGTGCTGATAACACCAAGGCCACGGGTTCGGATCCCTATATAGGGATGGCCAGTTAGCTCACTTGGGAGAGCCTGGTGCCGACAACACCAAGTCAAAGATTAAGATCCCCTTACCGGTTATCTTAAAAAATATAAATAAATAAATAAATAAATACGCAAGAACAAAAACAGGGACACAGGGAAAAGCACTTGTACACAAATATATATGTAGCTTGTCATCATTTAGTATTTTTTTTTTTTTTTTCTAAAGATGACCGGTAAGGGGATCTTAACCCTTGACTTGGTGTTGCGCAAGAACAAAAACAGGGACACAGGGAAAAGCACTTGTACACAAATATATATGTAGCTTGTCATCATTTAGTATTTTTTTTTTTTTTTCTAAAGATGACCGGTAAGGGGATCTTAACCCTTGACTTGGTGTTGTCAGCACCACGCTCAGCCAGTGAGCGAACCGGCCATCCCTTTATAGGATCCGAACCCGTGGCCTTGGTGTTATCAGCACCGCACTCTCCCGAGTGAGCCACGGGCCGGCCCCATCATTTAGTATTTATTGAACACCCACAATCTGCTAGTCATGGTCCAACAGATAAAGCTCCCCACCCCCACAGTCACACACAGAAACCCAAGCTCCTTCGCAAGATCCACTCAGGATGATACTGGGGCCCAGTCTCCAAGCCAAAGAGGGAGAACTTTTTTCTGTATATAGTCAATGACCCATAGTGGAAAAAATAATCAATTGTAGACATAGTGTCATTTATAATAGACAAAAAGTTAAAGGAAAACAACCTAATGCACCCAAATGGGGACCTAGTTAAAGACTTCAAGGTCAGGGTGAAATAGAAGGCAAAACATACACAGCCTCATGGTCAGAGTTTATAATATCATGAAAAAATACTGTTACATTTTTAAATGAAAAAAGTAAAAATATAAAGTATATATGCCTCGGGCCGGCCCGTGGCTCACTCGGGAGAGTGTGGTGCTGATAAAACCAAGGCCCCGGGTTCGGATCCCATATAGGGATGGCCGGTTCGCTCGCTGGCTGAGCGTGGTGCTGACAACACCAAGTCAAGGGTTAAGATCCCCTTACCGGTCATCTTTAAAAAATAAAATAAAATAAAGTATATGTGCCTCATACCGGCCAGTCACACACACACAAATGTATATACAGCATTATCACAAAAAAATGTTTAAAGAAATATGCATAGAAGAAAAGACTGGAGGGAAGTACACCAAAATGTTATTATTGATTGTCTTTCATGTTTTGTTTTTTGGGTTTTTTGGGTGCCTAGCCTGTACAGTAATCAAACCCTGGACCCTGATGTTAACAGCACAGTGTTCTAACAAACTGAGCTAACCAGCCAGCCGGTCACTGATTGTCTTTTTTTTTTTCTTTTAAAAAAGATGACCGGTAAGGGGATCTTAACCCTTGGCTTGGTGTTGTCAGCACCACGCTCAGCCAGTGAGCGAACCGGCCATCCCTATATGGGATCCGAACCCGGGGCCTTGGTTTTATCAGCACCACACTCTCCCGAGTGAGCCACGGGCCGGCCCGAGGCATATATACTTTATATTTTTAAAAAAAAAATTGTATATACAGCATAATCACAAAAAAATATTTAAAGGAATATGCTTAGAAGACTGGAAGGAAGTGTCCTCAGTACGCCAAGGGAGCAGTGAGGACACTATTACAGGTAGGAGTCCCTCCTGGAGGAAGGAGGTATTGAAAAATGGCTAGAGGAGAAACAGGGCAACTGGGAGGTGGGACAGGGGGCATTTTCAAAACTAGGGGATCTGGCAGAGTTGGGAGTCAGGAAGTCAGGAGATAAATGGGGATCACTGGGACAAGCTGGCCTGGTCCAGGTTGCTGTCACATTTGAAAAGGCCTTGACTGCCAGAATGAGGAGCTGGGAGTTCATTGTAACCCGTGAGAGTCTTGAGTTGGCGGGGGGTCGGGGGGCATGCCAGAAGGAAGGCAGCAGCTCTGGAGGGATTGGAGAGGGAGGTCACAGTAGCAGGGATGTAGGGGTGAGGCCAGTGGAGGTCTTGCCCAGGCTTGGTGACCTAGCAGGAGAGGAGGCATGGTGACCAAGCTTTCAATTTGGGTGACATGGATGTGCTGGTACCATGAAAGAATTAGGGAGGTAGAGGGGCTGAGAGATCACTCGATTAAGCTTCCTTCCCCACCCCATGGCACTTCTAAGGACCCTAGGAACAGTTTGAAAACCTCTAACCCAGTCAGAGTCCTGAGTCCTTCGTTTTGCAAATGAAGAAATGAAGCATTGGAGAAGGGAAATGATTTGCTTAAGGTCATGGTTGGTGTCAGAGCCTGAACTTGAACCCGGGTCTCTGAGGTGTCAGGCTGGGCTGAGGTAACAGCAGGCTATGGTTCTGGGGTGGGAGACCCTCAGCACCACCACCTGAGGGGGCAAGAGGACAAAGAGAGGCAAGGAGGATGGAGCACAGGGAATAGGCCCTGGTGGGGCTGGAGGTGGACAGTCTTGGCTAAAATGAAACTTGGGAATTATCTGAGGTATCGCTTGGCTAGGATTTCTGTCCCTCAGCCATGCTCTTTCTCACACACACACAGCCATAGCTTCCTGCAGAGGGATCTGGGTCCAGAGGTGGGCTGGGCCGGCTGATTGCTCACCCAGCCAGCAGTTGCCTAGCAGGTGTCAGGTGTGCCTTAGAAATACCTCTCTACAGGAATAACACAGACCCATGTACCCAACTGTAGTGTTGCAAAGTGCTCTTACAACCACTTGGTAATAATATCTCATTTGAGATATTACTTTTTTTCTCTGGACTTCAGTTTCCTTATGGTAAAATAAGTTTTTCTTTTGTTTTGTTTTCTCCCAAGATGCTCTTTAAAGCTCTTTTGGGGCCGGCCTGTGGCTCACTTGGTAGAGTGCGGTGCTGATAACACCAAGGCCACGGGTTCGGATCCCATATAGGGATGGCCGGTTCGCTCACTGGCTGAGCGTGGTGCTGACAACACCAAGCCAAGGGTTAAGATCCCCTTACCAGTCATCTTTAGAAAAAAAAAAAAAAAAAAGATAAAGCTCTTTTGAGCTCCAATTCCATGGAATTGGATCCCTGCTCCTCTCCAAGTCCTCTCACAATGAACCCTCACTTGCACAGGATCTCTGGGACCAAATCTCTAATTAAATTGTTCACAAACAGCACCCTGACCTTCACTAGGTCATTATGTGCCAAGGGTGAAGACTGAGTCCAACCAACTCAAGACCAAGGACTTTGGCCATTGGCTGAGGTTTAGGTTGTATGGGGTTCCTTTTGTGTTCAGGCTGTGAATGGGTGGAGGGTCCCCCAACCTGAGACCCCAGGCTCTGTGAACTGTCAGAAGGATTGGAGCAGAAAGGTTAGAGGGGCGGGGATGGCCCCAGAGCCCCAGCGCTGAGCAGGGTGCTCTAGAAAGGAGGAGGAGAGGGGAGGGGCCCCACCCGCCTGGTGAGGTCATGGGAAAACAGCTCTGGCGCTGACACCTGGGGAAACCCGTTTCCAGGCTGCTTCCCACGCTAGCTGTCCTGGGAACCAGCTAAGCCCCAAGCGGGAGCCCCATACCTGCCCCCCTGTCCAGTTCCCATCACGTTGTCCCATCTGGTCCAGCCCCCCACCCTTCAACCTAGCCTGAGTGCTTTGGTACCCAACCTGTCTCCATCCAGACTGTTGGGCCTTGAGAAGGGTTATGAGGGAGCCTCAGGGAGACCACTCCAGGAAACGACAGAGACAGCAGCTTCAGAAACTTAAGGTTTTATTTGCAGACTCTGCACTGCTCTACCTTCTAGGCTGTGACCTTGGAGAAAGGGATGACCCCCAACCCCTTCCTCCTTCAGGCTCTAATTTGCAGCCCGTCCCCCTCCCTTTGCTGGGCCTTGACTCTCACTTCCTGCCCCACTCCTGGCTCAGCCAGTTTGGGCAGTGCCTAGGGAGCCCTGAGACCCAGTTCTTCCCAGGGACCAGCCCCGCCCTCCCTGGCCTCGGGGCTTGAGGGCAGCCCAGGTGTCAGCCTGCTCCTCAGCTGCCCCACTTCCCTGCTCTCTTTCTCCTCATCTTCCTCCTTCCAGGCCCAGCCCTCTGATCTGCCTCCAGTCCCAGGGATCCAAGGCCTTGATTTCTGCTCCCTCTTCCAATCTCTCGCTGGCCTCCGTCCTACCCACTCCATCCCAGACTTCCCTCCAAATCAGGGATGGACAGCTTCTTGCCTTCCAAGATGCCCAGTTGTTACCCAGGTTCTTCCTCACCCCTGTGCAAAGGAGGGGGTGGGGACCACCGCAAGGGCTCCTAATTCAGCCAGGCTGACCTGAGGGTCCATGATAAGAAACACTGTTAGGACCACCCCATGCAAATCAAAGTGCTGGGTTTTCTCTGTGAGCCTTGACTTCAGAAATCCAAATCATAGCCTCTTCCCTCCTCCAGGCCCTAGGCTCACCCAGGCATATCAGAGTGGGCAGTTAGAGGCCCATGGCCCCAGAGTGTTCAGAAGGGACCCGAGTCCCATGGGGTGGCTGGGCCTTGCCATAGCCCCCTCAAAGACCCTGTGCCCCAGGTTCCAGAAGTCTCTGGCCTCCTGCCCACCACTCACTATGCTGCCACAGCTTCTCAAACAAAGCAGAAGAACTTCTTCCAGCGGCAGCGGGAGAGGGTGCGCACACCCTTGGCATTCAGTTTCTTCTCCAGCCGGGCCTTGTGCTCGATGGCACTGAGAATGGCCGAGTCAAACACCTCTTTCAAGTTCTTCTGCGTCAAGGCTGAGCACTCGAGGTAGCAGCAGGCCCTGATCTTCTCAGCCAGACCCTGAGCCTGGGGTTGGGGCACCGGGCCCTCGCGACCCCCCTGGTCCAGCTGAATCAGTACGTTGACATCATCCCTCAGGTCGGCCTGGGTGCCCACCAGCAGCACAGGCGCCTGGGGATTGTGAGTGCGGATCTCAGGCAGCCATTTCTCTGTGATGTTTTGGAAGGAGCTGGGCTGAACCACGCTGAAGCATGCCAGGAAGACATCGGTATCCGGGTAGCAGAGGGAGCGAAGTCGGTCAAAGTCCTCCTGCGATGGGAAGATCAGGTCGTTAGTAGGGTCATTCCCTGCCACATGGAACAGAAATCTGCTTCTCACCTGCGACTGGAGACCAGAGACTCCAAGAGCCCAACGCCTTCTCTATTCCTGCTTGATCTGGGTTCTTCCCAGCTTCCAACCCACCTCCCGCCAGACCAGTAGAGGCTGCTCCCAGCTTCTCACCTGTCCCGCTGTGTCCCACAGCTCAATGCGCACGGGCGCTCCATCCACCAGGACTTGCACTGCAGGGGGGAGGCAGGGAAAATCCGAGTTAGGAAGAGCGTCCTGGGCCCCACCAGTCTTCACCAGCGCCACCTCGGGGCCTGCCCACGCCTCCTCCCTGGGGTCTTCCGTGCCCTCCCGCCGCGACGCCGGCCCCAGCTCCAATGCACAACCCCCACCCCCACCCCCGCCCTCGCCAGCCACGAGGCCGCCAGGGCAGTTGAACGTACCGGAGAAGGTGTCCAGCGCGGTGGGCCGGTAGCGCGCGGGGTACCCATTGCAGGTGTAGCTGACGATGAGGCTGCTCTTGCCCACGGCGCCGTCACCCACCAGTACGCACTTGATGCCCAGCTCCGGGGGCGCGCTGCGCCGCCGCGGAGGAGGGGTCGGGGCCCGGAGAGGGGGCGGCTCCGCCTCGCTCAGCTCCCGCGGCGGCATGGCCCGCTCCAGGGGCCGCAGAGGGGCCAGCCCGGGACCAGGCTCCGCTGCGCTCTGGGAAGCAGGTTCCGCTGGCTGCCTCTGCCTGAGTCGGTCCAGGCTGGGCGCGCCGACCCAACGCTACCCGCGGGTCTAGGCAGGGCCCCGCCCACCTCATCTGCATGTCCCCAGCGGCCCCGGACCCCGCCCACTGGCCGGGACCTTCCTCGGCCGGGCACCCCGAGAGGCCAGGCAATCTCAGAACACCGGGAGGAAGAAAGGCGGGCGGAAAGCTCACGTTCAAAGAACCACGCAAGTACTAGGACAAAGAACCGCTAAATGACAATTCCGAGAGCTAGGTATCTTGGTAGAGACAGACATGGGCGATTCATTGTTAAGAGGGTAAGTTGCAGAACACATAATACAGCATGTTCAAATGAAATCTTTTTCAAATAAAACAAGAAACTCTATACATATGTTTGTACGAGCATTAAAAAGTCGCGGTAATAATTTTATTAATACAAGAATGATTTTAAAATATATACAGATCATTACTGTCACATTGGGGATTAAGAAAATATTCAGGTCATGAGCGAGGCAGAGAAACCCAAGCGTGAACACAGCAGGCAGGAATGCACTGTACTCCCTTTCACCAAACAGCTTCATCTGCACTCAGCCTGAAGGCAGGCTTTGAACACCTTCTCCCCTCAGCTAAAGGAACCAGAGTGCTGAAAAGCCATCTAGCTGGGGAGGATCTTCAAGGACAATTCCCCATTTGAATATTTTATAAATGCCCAAGGTACCTAATACTATCTTCACCATCATCAAAAGCACGTGATTACCTATTTACAGATGCTGTTCTGGGCCACCTGCTAGAAGAGAGTTTACGGACTGAGACAAGATCTCCCAGGTAGGCCTAAGAAGGTCACCTAGAGAGCAAGGGAAGAGTGGCCTGATGCTAATTTTGTCTCTTTATTGCAGCCACACCAAGTGACACCAGGCCCATAGTCCTTTCTCTGATCTCCAAGGCAGTCTTTCATCTCAGCCCAGACAAAGAAAATTGAAAACACCTTCACACAGGGAGTCAGTCATTCATGAGTTCTGAGAAAGGACAGTGTTGGAAGGCAGAGGGGTGGTGAATATTATAGAAAAGAGATAATCCTATTTCTCAAAGAGTTGGTAGTATAAAAATCCATAAATCCAAATCTCTATATCTCTTCAAAAAAGTCTTAGGATCCCTGATTTTTATTTCTTTGTTTCTTCTCTCTCTCTCTTTTTTTTTTTTT